AATAATAATAATAATAATAATAATAATAACAATAACAGCAGTGGCAGCAGCAGTCATATTAATGACACCAAAAATGGTAGAAGTAATAGCAGTGATGACAATGCCGGTGGTCGTAATAACAACAATATTACCAATGACAATGCTATTAATAATATTATTAATATTAATGATTTAATAATATTATTAACATTAATAATAATAATAATGATAATAATAACAGTTAACCACAGTAGTGACAATGTATAAAAAGAGCTTCATATTATACATTTTTGAGGTACCGTTTTCAGATGGCCATTTTGTTAGTTTTTGCTTTGTGTAATGAACTTCAAACTTTGATCCCTCAGTTGCTGACCGACGAAGAAATAACGTAAAAACAAAAAAGACTAATTCTTTTCCACATTTTGCTCTTATTTTATTCACCGCTTTTTTCCTTTACCTACTTTTCTTTCATTTTTGTTCGCATGTAATCACAGTTTCAAATCACCTGATCATTGAGATGAAGTGCAAGAAACGCTAGAAATTTCAGTTTAGATAACTGTATTTTTAAAAAAGTTGAAAGCTTGACAACGGTTCAAACCTAATAACCTGAGATAATTTAAGCAGAAATGATAAATGGTACCGACAATGCCACAGTTCTTTTTTGAGAAACAAAAGTGAGGTTTTATTTACAATGCTGAGATTTTGGGGAATGGGGGAGGGGGATTTAAATGACAAATAAGATCTATGGCCGAACGGAAAGTAAGAACGAAACCTCAATGGGCACATATTTACAGGAATTTATTACTGTATAAACGTTGAAAGAACAAAATTAACCTAATTACTGAATCTACCTAAGAGTCAAATTATATGTATATAAGCATATAGGATAACAAACAATAGCCAACGGCGAATGTGTTCGTCAACTGAACAGATCATCGAAACGATACGCTTCGACAGCGTGCATTAAACGTTATGCTCGAAAAATAAAATGTTGTACAAAATATAACATAATGTAAAAATGACAAGCTGATAGAATTTGGCAACAAAAAAAAAAAAATGTTCGAAAATCTTCTATGAAACTATAAATATACGATAAAACTGTATCTCCTTCCTTCAAATTTGCCCACTTCCGCTTTTTTCACATAAAAGTGATACAGAAATTTGTGTTTTGCCAAAACAAGTTTTGTATACCGTTGGTTAAGCTGTTGCAGTGCCATTACAAAACGAGTAAAACAACCTCGTAGAATTAGAGTAAACAAAATATGTAATTGTCTGACAAAAATAATATCCTTTTTTGATTTTCTTTAGGCAGTAAAGCTTATAACTTTATTACAGCGACTCGTATTACAGCAGCAGTAATACGATTCTTTGGGTGAATCTGCACTTTTACTTGTGCGACACTCATTTTGTGAGCACATTTCCTTTAGTCGTTCGTCAACGTTAAAACATCCCTGTAGGATGTGACCAGGAACCTAAAAATAAACAAATCATCTAATTAATTTTTCTTTTAAATCAAGGTTGCCAAAAAAAGAAAACAGTCAAGGAATAACAGTAAAATAGACAACACATTGTTCAAACTTAACATCCTATGACGTAATGACAGTTTTAAAAGTTTTAAACCTTAGTTACCTTTGCTGATTTATTGACTTCGTGAGCAAGAATATAGACACAAGCAGGTATCTTATCGTTACTGGTGTATCGGCATTTCACTAATTTGGTGCAATCTTCTTTTGTTCCGTTGCACTTTGCTGGTTCAAAGTCCTGCAAAAGATTTTTTTGAAGATAAAGTTGTCCCAGCATTATGATAATTGAACCACACTCAAACATTTATTTTACTGTACC